GTGATGGAGATTCTTAATGGCTGAACTGAGGAGGGTTTTCAGCTCGAAGTAAAGGGAAGGGGGCTTGGGAGCCTTGGAGGATCTGTAGTTGTTGTAGATCTTTCTCAGGTGCTGCTTCAGGGCAATGGAAACCTTGTCTAGCCTGTAACAGGGAGCTGAGGCCTGTTTTGACATGGATTGTGGGATGGGTCGCCCCAGCTTAGCTGTTATGGTATCTTTTAGGTTCTCAAAACCTTGGATGTAGTCCTCGGGCTTCGATGACGATAGCCAGTTAAGAGAACTATACGGAGATGTGTCTGGCTTGGTTATTTTTTCAAAGAGTTGTTTGGCTCTGAGGTTCCAGTGAATTCTGAGCAGGGTCAGTGAATGCTCCTGGGGAGCCAGGTTCATCGGGGGTATCGGGTCTATGTAGGGGGCGAGGCTGCAGGATAGAGGAAGATGGTCACTGGCTAGAGGCTCGCCCACCCGGAAATCGGCCACGTATGGTAACAAGGGGATGGGGATCAGGATGTAATCTATTGTACTGGAACCACGGGGGGATATAAACGTGAATTCACCCTCAATGTCTGCCTCAGTAAGACCGTTTAGCCATATTAAGCCGCCATATTAAATCACTCCTACTGAAATTGATGGGACTTAAAAATCTTTTTTTTTCTTTCACTAGACTGTCCAATTTTTCACATATTTGTTATTTTTACAACAAAGCTGTCAAATTTGAGCACCTCGATTAACAATGAATGTCTCATAAGAAGTGACTTTGTGTCTCCTAACCATCTGGAAATCACTTATATTTGGGGGTTTATGATGAATCTAGTTATTCAGACATTTATGGGAGAGAAAGTACAAAGGAGAGACCCGATCTATGTTTGGTTTGCTGTATAGAAAAATATATTGCATTGTTATTACTATGCTCACATGCCAGTGCCTTTCAATTCAATAATTGCTTAGGGATGGTGGAACTCTGAACCCAGAGAGACCACTCATTCAATGAAGGCAGATGATGGCTGTGCACAGACATTCATAAGTAAAAGCCTTTTTATATGTATTATTATATGTATTATTTCAGTTACCTTGCACAGGAAAGCTACTGTGTGAGATGCAGAGGTGTAAAGTTAAATCTTGAAACATGACCATCCATCATGACAGTCTCTGCACTCCAGAGACTGGGAAAAATGTTGTTCCTACTCCTAGCACCAGAGGGCAGCCCTTTATCTCAGGCTCACAAATCATTATTCTCCATCAGGATCTTTTGTAGAACTTATGGGTCTTAATTGTCCATTCAGGACTATCCAAGTCCCTAGTATTTTGCATTACAACAGGAATAGTGACAGCAATATGCTGTTGCTGAGAAAACTCATACATACATGCACACAGCTATTGTGAGGATTGCAGCTACTCTCAAGGAAATTCAATGTTCCTGTCAACCAAAGCTTCAGCACTGCAAGCTTTGGTTCCACTACACCTCTCATGGATTAAGTCCTTTTATGGTATCAGGGCTACCTGAGGTCATCCGATGCAGTCTTTAAGTAAAACGAACATAAATATTTTGATTTTTTCCCCCCAGTGGTTTTCAGTCTGTAATATATTGCTACCTTTGCCTCAATATACAATTGTAGTGCATGCTTCACAATTTTTTTAAAATTTACAAAGCAAGAAAGCAAGACTTTAAGCCAAACTTTACAATACAATTGACTGTATATTTGATATGTTGTGTTATTTTTTTACCAACAAAGACTTTCAATTCAGTAGACTCTCTGTTGCACACTTTTTCAGATGACGGTTGCTGCTGGTACGAGCATTGAGAATAACATTCAAAGGACCATATCCTGCCCTAATGTATGTTCTACATATCTTGGATTTTTGTCTCATTTAAATGCAAATTTTCATTATATCAATTTGCTCTTGTCATTTACAATATCATGTCCATTTCAGGCATACTGCATATTATGCTGCAAGTGAAGATTCTAAACTGGTGGTGGCCATAGATAGAGCTTGGAAGTAACATGTTACAAGTAGAAACATTACATGTAATATGTTACTTTTTTTTTTTAGTAATGTCAACATCAGTATCATTAATTTTAAAGACTAGCATAGCCTCTGGTGGCTTCATTGCACAGCATAAGATATAATGTTCTCTCATTAATCCCAAAGATTTTATTAGGAAGTGGGGTTGTGGGGGTAACCATTTTTATATTTTAAATTGTTTTTCTTTAAAATTTCTAAAAATAAGTTTTAAACAACACGCTTGTAACAAGTTACTCTTCTAGTAACATATAATGTCAATGTGTTTATTCTTCCCCAAAGTAATGAGTAACAAATTAACTTTTAGAAATAGTGTCCCAAGCTCTGGCCACTGATGTATTTCTTTATATACTGTAATTAGTTTTGCTAAAATGTTACAGATATTTCTGAGTGGCTTCATTCCAGCTCAGCACCACTATTGCACTGAAATAAAGAATGCAAGGTTTTGATATCATGCCTGTTTAACTTCTAAATTGAGTCTGAACACTAAGCTATTTTTTTTGTTGGAATTCTTAATCCATATGCTTGTAGAACAACAGTAGTTTCTGCATTCCAAGCAATCTTTCTCACAGTGAGATACTTTGTTTCTTTTATATTTTGAAGTGTATCATTTACCAATGATAAGTGTGACTTTTGGATTTTACACACTTATGTACATGTGCCTCTCATGCAATATAGAATGAAAAGGGGTAAAAATCTCCAAGAGAACTGAAACAAGAAAGTAGATTGCCATGTAATTACATGACTTACATAGTCATAAGACAATTATTGCAACAAATACTTTGAATAATGCTATGTAGGCAGCCCCATTGATTAGAATTAAATGAAAAAAAATGTGCCCTACTGATGTTTTGCACAATAACTCCTGTAGCCTCTTAATGGTAGGTCCGTTGGTTGGGCCTTCTGAATGTTTAAGTCCAAAATATCCAGTCGGGAAGAAATGTTGCCCTCTCCTGAACTAACTTATGCCCTATCTAGGTGGCAGCAGTTTCTTTTGGATTTGAGAAATAGTAAGCACTTTAGTGAGGAAAGAAACAAAATGAAGAAGCAATGAAGAAGGAAAAATCACAGTAGAAATATCACCAAAAAGAGGAAGATACTATAATAGCACACAAGATGGCAAACTAATCCTGTAAAATAATGAGAAAGCATAAAAGAATAGCAATCAGTAGTAAGTACAGGATAATGGAATAAAAGCATAAGTAAGATACCCTGTCTGCTTGCCAAAAGCTCTTAGAGAACAGCAGCAGATGGTTCCATGAAGGACCAACCTGGAAATGGCTTGTGCTTCAAACTTCACAAACAAAGATTTTGGAGACCTTATATAATTTAGCTAATATATTACCGCTGGGACTTCTGTACAATCTCAAACCACCTATAGCTGCTGCTATTATT